ATATATGATTTTTTTTTTAAATGGGGCGAAAAGGATGACTCGGACTTTTACATTATATTTAGCATCGGCATTATTTGGGACATACGGATGCACGGACGTACAGACGGACAATGGTAAAGCTTAATGCCCCTCCGCTACGGCGGGGCATAATAAACTAAAAATATTGATAGGTTATAGAATTCCTTTTTGTGATATATGTTTTTTTTAATGGGGGGAAAAGGATGACTTGGACTTTTACCTTATATTTAGCATTGGCATTATTTGGGACGTACAGACGCACGGACGTACAGACGGACAAGGGTAAATCTTAATGCCCCTCCGCTACGGCGGGGGCATAATAAGCTAAAAATATTGATAGGTTATAGAATTCCTTTTTGTTATATTTTTTTCACTAGAATTATTTCACACGCAAGTAAATGTAAATATATTTATTTTCTAAAAAAAAAAAGTTCGATATCGCACAGCTAATTCTTCTAAAATCTAGAAACAACTTATTAACATAAAAGTTGACAAACACTTAAATTGGAACACGTGCAACCTAGTTAATTCACGAGAAAGATAATAAACCGTTATTAGCTACCACAGACGAACATCTATCAACTCTTGCCATAAACTTGCGTATCGTCCCCATAACATTTATGAATTTGACAGATGCTGAGTTCGGACAGACAAAACAATAAACATTGATATAAACATCTATTAAAATTTTAAATTCAAATCAAAGTTGTCTTTTAAATTTCGTTTTTGTATTACTGTTCTCTCATATTTTCCATTATTTTGTGAAAAAATGAAATTGCCTCAGTCAAATAATTTGACAAAGTTTATCAGAAGTTTAGCTATTACCCTATTATACTCAACGAAGCTCGGAGATAAATGTACGTTCACCCGTAGAACGTTTAACAACTGTTGACTCGTCGAAAAAAGGGAAGGGGTGTGGTTTGGTCATTCAACAAGATAATTCCAAAGCTTTCAGACAAATTACTTCTTTATTTCAGCAATCACTTCTTTTTTATAGGACTTAATAGGACTGTATTATATTTCTTTCCATTTTTGGGGACCATTATTATCAATTATGTTGTGTGCAGTATACAAATATGTAATAATGTGCACGTTTACAATCATCCATGTTTTATGTGGATGGCGAAGGAGTTGACAGAAAGAGATATGCAAAAAGAATATAAAATGACTTTGTCAAAGTTTTAGGACCCTGTTATTTCAATAAAAAAAATTACTTACTTCATTGTCGTGTTTGTGGACTATCGACTCAAGAGAATGTTGATTTCAACAAAGTGTGTTGTAAACGGTGCAACATACTGTCGGATAGCGGGAAAAATATTGATGTACTTTTTTATACAAGTATAAAAAGTAACATCATTCCAAGGTACCCCCCCCCCCCCCTATTTTTTTTAACCTAACTTCAGATTTCCAAACATAAACGATTCTGGAGTTTTTCTAAATAGATACGCCAATGTCTTCTCTAATGTCTCCTCTACGTTACATATACAGTCGTTGCCCGTCACAATCTCTATCAATTGGTCTTCAATCATCTTAAGGTACGCCATCCCTCGTTTTTACAATTTCAGTTTTTTAACCGTTACTTCAGATTTTGAACATAAACCACTCTGGAGATTTTCCTAAACGATGCGCCAATGTCTCCTCTACAACACCTATATAGTCGTTGTCCGTCACAATCTCTTTGAAATGGTCCAAAATTTCCTTTTAGTGCCCTACCCCCCTAATTTCATTTTGTCAATTTCACAATAAAATTTTCAGTTTTTTAACCGTAACTTCAGATTTTCGAACATAAACCACTCTGGAGATTTTCTTAAACGATGCGCCAATGTCTCCTCTACAACACCTATATAGTCGTTGCCCGTCACAATTTCTTTGAAGTGGTCCAAAATTTCCTTTTAGTGCCCTACCCCCTTAATCTCATTATGTCAATTTCGCAATAAAATTTTCAGTTTTTTAACCGTAACTTCAGATTTTCGAACATAAACCACTCTGGAGATTTTCTTAAACGATGCGCCATTGTTCCCTCTACAACACCTATTAAGTTGTTGCCCGTCACAATCTCTTGAAATTGGTCCAAAATTAACTTAAATTGCCCTACCCCCCTAATCTCATTTTGTCAATTTCACTATAAAATTTTCAGATTTTTAATCGTAACTTCAGATTTTCGAACATAAACCACTCTGGAGATTTTCTTAAACGATGCGCCATTGTTTCCTCTACAACACCTATATAGTCGTTCTCCGTCACAATCTCTTTAAAATGGTCCAAATTTTTCTTTTAGTGCCCTACCCCCCTAATCTCATTTTGTCAATTTCACAATAAAATTTTCAGTTTTTTAACCGTAACTTCAGATTTTCGAACATAAACCACTCTGGAGATTTTCTTAAACGATGCACCAATCCTCTACAACACCTATATAGTCGTTGCCCGTCACAATCACTTTAAAATGGTCCAAATTTTTCTTTTAGTGCCCTACCCCTCTAATCTCATTTTGTCAATTTCACAATAAAATTTTCAGTTTTTTAACCGTAACTTCAGATTTTCGAACATAAACCACTCTGGAGATTTTCTTAAACGACGCGCCATTGTCTCCTCTATAACACCTATATAGTCGTTGCCCGTCACAATCTCTTGAAATTGGTCCAAAATTAACTTAAATTGGCCTACCCCCCTAATCTCATTTTGTCAATTTCACAATTTCAGTTTTTTAACCGTAACTTCAGATTTTCGAACATAAACCACTCTGGAGATTTTCTTAAACGATGCGCCATTGTCTCCTCTACAACATCCATATAATCGTTGCCCGTCACAATCTCTTGAAATTGGTCCAAAATTAACTTCAATTGGCCTACCCCCTAATCTCATTTTGTCAATTTCACAATTTCAGTTTTTTAACCGTAACTTCAGATTTTCGAACATAAACTACTCTGGATATTTTCTTAAACGATGCGCCATTGTCTCCTCTACAACACCTATATAGTCGTTGCCCGTCACAATCTCTTGAAGATGGTCCAAAATTAACTTAAATTGGCATACCCCCTAATCTCATTTTGTCAATTTCAGTTTTTTAACCGTAAGTTCAGATTTTTGAACATAAACCACTCTGGAGATTTTCTTAAACGATGCGCCATTGTCTCCTCTACAACACTTATATAGTCGTTGATCGTCACAATCTCTTCAAATTAGTCCAAAATTAACTTGAATCGGCCTACCCCTTATCTCATTTTGTCAATTTCACAATAAAAGTTTCAGTTTTTTAATCGTAACTTCAGATTTTCGAACATAAATCAATCTGGAGATTTTCTTAAACAAAGCGCCATTGTCTCCCCTACAACACCTATATAGTCATTGCCCGTCACAATCTCTTCAAATTGGTCCAAAATTAACTTAAATTGGCCTAACCCCTAATCTCATTTATTCAATTTCACAATTTCAGTTTTTTAACCGTAGGTTCAGATTTTCGAACATAAATCAATCTGGAGATTTTCTTAAACAAAGCGCCAATGTCTCCTCTACAACACCTTTATAGTCATTGCCCGTCACAATCTCTATAAATTAGTCCAAAATTAACTTTGAGTGCCCAACCCCACAATCTCATTTTGAAAGTTTCAGTTTTTTAACCCTAACTTCCGATTTTCGAACATAATGTGATCTGGATTTTTTTTTCTACACGATGCGCCAATGTCTCCTCTACAACAACTATATAGTCGTTGCCCGTCACAATCTCTATAAATTGGTTCAACATTAACTTTTAGTGCCCTACCCCCCTAATCTTATTTTGTCAATTTCAGTTTTTTACCGTAACTTCAGATTTTCGAACATAAACCTCTCTGGAGATTTTCCTAAACGATGCAGAAATGTCTCCTCTAAAACACCTATATAGTCGTTGCCTGTAACAATCTATTCAAATTGGTCAAAAATTAACTTAAAATGTCCTATACCCAAATTTCATTTTGTTAATTTCAGTTTTTTTTCTACCACAATTTAAGATTTTCGAACATAAACCACTCTGGAGATTTTCCTAAACTATGCGGCACTATCTCCTCTTAAACACCTATATAGCCTAACCTGTCACAATCTCTATTAATCGGACCAAACAACGTAAAGTGCACCCCCATTCCCTAAAAATGCATTGTGTCATTGTGTTAACTTATGGTCATTGTAATCCAGCTGTCTATTGAATGCCTTATGTGGATTTATTTAGTTAGGAAAGAAAAGCTTTGTATTCTTTATATATGAAGTATGGTTTCCCTTTTGTTTTAAGTTAGTTTTTTCGTTTTTGTTTAAGATTGTATGTATTCTCATAATTGTTCGCTAGCTCGAACAAACGTGTTAACCTTATGTGATATTGTGGTTTTTAGTTATACCTCCTAATTGTTCGCTAGCTAATTGTTCGCTAGCTTGAGTCAGGTCCATTACAGTCATGTTTACCGAATATAAACTGACGTATCTTAATTTTCTAATAAATCATCGTAAATTTCATTTATGTCATCCAACATATAAAAAAATTCTGCTATATTCGACGGCAAATTGAATTTTTTTTTTATTGCTTCTTCTACAGAATATCTCCAGAAGAGGTCCAGATTCATTTTTTTTGTACTCTTCACCAGAAGACATTCTGGAGATGTACAGAAGAGACCAATGAAACACGCCCCAGTACTAATTAATGTTTTAAGATATGTGTTTTCGTATTTATGAAGGTTGTGTGCTCCTCTATGTCAGTTGTTCGACTTGGTTAGCATAGCGTGTTGATACGTTTTCAGTTATTGTTAATTCCCCATTTTATTTTGTTTGTTTTGATAATTTGAAAACAGTATATTGGTGGTCTAATCGCGGACGCTCATGCACAAATATTAGCTAGGACGGGATGTTTAAAGACCTTGGCTACACATTTAGGTCTCGCATGGTCAGTATCGAATGAAATGTGAGCTACAACACTCCATTAGTGTACCTCATTCGCTTTATTCATTGGCCTAGATACGACATCACATGATATTATTATATTTAGATTCGCACATATTTCCGTCACATTTGTAAATGTAAGTATCGTTGTTATATTTATCTTTCAGTCTGTCTGTTCGTTTCAGGTTAATTGAAATTTCCAACTTTTTAGAAAATGCACATAAAAATTGTATCAACAGTCAATGTGTGTTAATTACACTTACAATAAAATTAAAGTGTAAAAAAAAGAAAAGTCTTTGTTAAAGCTAAAAATATGGAAATATCAAATTTTTCATGTTTACAGTACAGTGAATTGAATGATTTTTCCTTTGAAGAATTAAGTGAAGATTCTTTCATTCTGGAAAATTGGTGATGTCACTTGATTCCAGCCACTATTAATTATAAAGAAAATGTAGCAAACATCATATGAATTCAATAACTTTTGGTACTTTTATGTGTAAATTTATAACAAAAGTTGAACATTTTGTACATTGTATTTCAGTGCTATTAGAACAATACACCAGGTAACTGGTTAATTGACTATGAGTGGTGAGGAAAACAATTTAAATTCTTCAAAATGTGACCAATTAAGATGTAAAAGGCAAAGATTAATGCCACTTCTCTGTACTGATGTATTTAGTGATGAGAATAAAGATTTTAAAAAATTGAACCAAATGGTGTGAAGTATTTTTAGCATCTGTTTTTTTAGGTGAATAGTAAAAAGTAAAATCACAAAAATACTTGTGGTATGATGGGTCACTCCTCCAGGAAGTATTCCTTCAAAGACTTATTTGTCATCGTTGTTTCTGTTTTTAAATACATTACAAGCCGGTAATTGATGTTTACTTTACATTATCATGTGATAAAACAAAGTTACAAAGTTATGACTAATAAATTGAAATAGAATTTTCAGAGAGGATTTCTTTTAGAAATTTTTTACACTGATATATATATATATATATACATTGTATACAAAATAATATGATGCACTAAAATGTTCAGGTATACCAATCCAACAGATATTGTCCAAACAGTGTAAAATGTATATGCAATATATTTTGTTTTTAATATGAGGTGGGTTTTACAATAATGTCAGTATATATCCGGTAATATAATAAACTTGATAGATAAAACAAGTAATTGTGAATTGTAGTGTACAGCTTAATGGGTAGATTTATAATTTAGTCATTTTAGTGTTTACCTTTACATGAATTAAAAAAAATTACAGCACTAGAATGCATGCATGATGCAACTACAACATTTTGTTTCACGAAAAATATATTTGACTTGTTTTTTTAATGTTTACTGGACTGATTAAGTTTATTTTGATAACGTCAGTCATAATTGATTTTTTGACATATATGTTAGATATCAGAGAAAATATAATGCAAATCTATAATTTGAAGATTTTACTTTGAGATTACGAAAGTCAATTGTATATCATTGTATATACAGAAGTGTTTTTCCAAGAAATTTTTGAATGCATATTTTAATTTTTTTAAAGGGATAAACATGATCAATTTGAATTGAAATTTTATCTTTTTCCATGTAATTATATCCCAAAACTTTTCATGTCGTAATCTTAATATGTCATTCACCATTCAGATTTAAATTTTAAAAATGTTATCATTGAAACTGCTACAGGTACATGTCTGGTTTTTTTTATCTCACAATTTATATCAGGAAGGACATTTGAGGGAATTTTGTATGCTAATTAAAGAAAATTTTCTCTGTGCCTTACATTTCCTTGTTCATGTGTTGTTTTATAAACATGACATAAAAGAAAATTTGTTATCTAACTTTAGTTTGCCTCAACTATATTTTATGAAACTTATACACAATGCTCATTACCACAAAACACAGATCCAGTTTGAATTTTGGTGGTGTCATTTTTACCGTTCTAGAGTTATGCCCCTTTACAAGGAAAAATTGCTGAATTTTTCGTTTCTGTTCTCTAACTTAAGAGTGCCTCAACTAAATGTTATGAACATATACATGATGCTTATTACCACAAAACTCGGATCAAGTACAAATTTGGGTAGTGTCACTTTTACAGTTCTTGAGTTCTGTCCCTTTATAACGTTATATGCAGTAAATGTTCCTAACGGAATAAATGGTATAGAATATTTGTTCCAACAGGAATAGATATTATGACATTGTTTATAACAAAGTTTCCAGTGGAACTTCTGTTAGGCAGAACAAATATACGTTGACAGTGGGGGCATCATCTGTGTCCCATGGACACATTCCCAATTTATTTATTTTCATTTTTGCCTATTATCTCAAAAACTATAGTAATAGTGAGAAACTTTAAAGTGCAAAAATAACCAGTAAGACAAGATCTACAAATAAGCAACAGCATGTTACATGGCTGAAATTGTCAGTCGACTCCTTATATGAATTTTAACTCTGGAGTAAAAATTTAGATTATTGATTAAAACATGTAGTTAAACCAGAAGAAATGTGTGAATGACTTTCAAGTGTAAAACACCATTTAAAAAAGGGCTTCAGATGCACAAAATTTATATTTAGTGTTGTGTTCATTTAATCATCTATACTACTACATGTAACTTTTCACGAGTAATTTGAAAAAGATAAGTTTTGAAGTGAATCTGACTCACTCACTTTGTTGACTACACTTATATCATGTGTATACAAATGTATATTTATAGTTCCTTTGTCATGTTCAGTGTATGTAAAAACAAATTTGTAAATTAGTGCTTTTATTTATATGATTTGGATATCATTTTAAATAATTGGATTAGAAATTATATAATATATATATTTTATCAGTATCTTCTGCACATAATTGAATAAAAATCAGTGCAAACTGTCTTCAAAATATATTTACAAAAAGGGAGACAATTCAATTTTAGCTAGAAGCAAAATGAATTTTCAAAATGTGTTCAAAGGGAGACAACTCAATCTCAACATTTGACATAATTCAAAGTACTGTTCAGGTTGTCAAATGCACTTAAATTTTAACGATAAAAAAATATTAATGCAATTTTTTATGTAACAAGTTTTTTCATTGGCTGATCCTTTACTGTTAAATCCACAGTTAACTTGTCTGACACTGAACTTGTCATAACTACATGTAGGGAGTGAGCTGCCATATTGAATTTCTTGGATCAACAAATGTTCGATTACTACAATCATGACAATAGAATAAAAAATAAAACAAAGTCTACCTCAAAAACGCTGGTTTAAGTGAATTAATCCAAAATTGAATCGAAGAAGTAACATATCTAGCCATGACGTTTATGCACCAAAATCATTCATGAAGTTTCGTAAAATTTTACTATAGTTCAAATTTATACATTTTTTTCAAGCTCTAAGGTATTATTTCTTATTGTAATGCATTAGAATTGGAATAACAGTACTGGGTACTGTAGTTGAAGAGTTGCCACCGTCAATAGGGATTACTGCCTACACTATAGGTAATACTGGATTTGCTACAAATCAACAATTGATTTTTTTTATTAAACATTCTTAAGGTTCAAACATCTGTTGCACTGATGCAACATTTAAAATCCCAAATCATTTATTTTGTGTCTACGTTTCAAGAACACACACACCTTCAATAAGAAGCATACATAATCTTACCCATGTAGAAAACTAATGTCAGTTGCTTGGATAAGAACTGTTATTTGGGACCTCTAATGCATTAACCATGGTGTAATGTGTGATGCTGTTATCATGTAGCAGCAGCATGAAAATTAATTTTCAATTTTGAAACCAATTATTTCCTGCATTTTGTGTTGCAGAGTATACATATTCGTCTTCTGTCTACCTGCATACAACTTCTGCAATTTGCAGTTTTTCGAACACTAGCTTCATTATGATAGATGTATACATGTACCATGTATACTGAAAATTCAGAAATTATTGTGTGCATTTATTATTGCAATTTTGTCATTTTAGACCAAAATGTGATTATTATTTTTGCGATACTTAGGAAAAATTCTGCTTCATTCATATAAAAAATCCAAAATTGGAGTTTCAATTATTGTGATTACAACCCTGTCGCATTTTTCGCAATTTAATAAAAACATTGCAATAATTTCAGAATTTACAGTATACATGGTATATGAACAATTTAAAGAAATGTGTTTGCCATTAAGCTCTATATAAAAAAATTGAATTGGACTCAGTACATAAACACATAAACATGACTTCATCGACAAGAACAGATACAGTCTTTGGCATACATTCCAGTAACTTTTTTCTGATTTAAACAATAGGATATATATCTCTTTACCACTTATAATTATTATTCTTCTTAAAGATAAAGATAATAAAAAAGATATGTTTCATTCCAAGTGCCCATGATGAGCAAAGTAACTTGTTACAATATGATTATTTTGTAATTTAGAGACACAAATAATTTTGACAATCATATATAAATATATGGATATGGTCCGAGTACACAGTTATCGTCCTTTGATTTTCGTTGTCCACAAATATAGTCCCTAGTGTGGACAGTGTGTTACTTGCCATTTTTTTTATACCCCTTCCAAATTTATTTCTTCATGTTTTATGCCTCAAATAGCAAGTAGGGGGATGAAATTACACTGTAAAAAAATTTGGGTCATGAATTTTAAAGTTAAGTAGTGATTTGGTCCAGCTGAAAAAGGTTAAAAATAAGCACTTCGGAAGCTGTCAAAAGATTTCAAGACCCCCTTAACATAAAATTGTCCATATTTTGAGTTAGAGCCGATGAAGTTTTCTATAATTTTGATATAATTTGTCCCAAACGTAGTACAACACACTATAAAAATATTATTGAGAAAGCGCAGGTGGGATTTTTTTAATTTTTATTTATTGTCTAAAAGAAATGCACTACGAAATAACTGTGTACTCGGACCATATAATCACCTTATATTATGCAAATGTTCTTAAGCCACAACCAGACCAGAGCCATTTATTATGTGTATAAAAGCATTAATAAAACATATTATATAAAATATTTACAGGCAAATATTCTTAATGGGTTACATATAGGTGTATCTGTACTTGATATGAGTGGAAATTTTCAGTTGAACTTTGCCTAATAAACTATAAATAGAACCATGTAATGTATTATATATATATACTATTGGAAATTTTATGCTATTTATATCAGGTCTATTGAAAGGTCACATAAAGATTAAAAAATATCAAAATCTATTCTTAATGTATTTATAGAATTGAACTGAATTTACATGTATAATGTAATTGTGGGATGGGACATTTTAAATGGATTAGAACAAATCTATCTTATAGATTGCATACCTTGCTGAATACAAATAGAGGCACTGATGGGAATTTTAATACATCCCACTAATTATATTATAGAAAAAGATACCCAAAATTTTGAAAAAGGAGAGTTTCGAAAACTTAACCAAAGAGAGATTGCAATTTATTTTTCTACTGATAGTTAGAATACATTTCCCAAATAACACTAGGTCTGATATATGATTTATCCATGGCTGAATAAGAATTTCAAAGGGAGGGAGCAAATTGAAAATTTGAGTAGTAACATAGGAAGATTGTAGGTGTATACAATATATAAATATCACATAGCTGAGAGGGTGATCATTGTGATAGAGCAGATTGTTACGCAGAGGAAACATTGTCAACTGAGGCAAAGCCGAGGTTGACAATGCTTTTTCGAGGGGTACCAATCTGCTCTTTCACCCTCTCAGCTGTGTGTTATTAGTCCCCTACCGACGAAGTCGAAGGGGACTTTAGGTTTGCACTCTGTCTGTCTGTCTGTCCGTCTGTCTGTCCATCTGTCAGTCCGGCAAATCAGTTTTCCAGACTTTTTTTCTTCGTGCTTGAAGATATTGATTTGATATTTGGTTTATTGTTTTGTCATGACAAGTTACAGGTCAAGTTCAATTTTCACGATTTTAGCTTTTCTATTTTTTCAGTTAAAGCCCTTTCCCTAGAATTAAATTTTTGATGAAATACTTATTAATTAGAAGATTTTTGTTCAAAGGGAAATAACTCATTTTTTAAAAATGACATTTTGGATTTTTTTCCTTTTCTTTGGTAAATTGTTTGAATAATTTAGTGGTAGGTTTGTTTGTCATTCTTGAAGATATTGATTTGATAATTAGTATATAGTTTTATCATGACAAGTTACAGATCAAGTTGGAAATTTGTTTCAGTATGATGATTTTGTGCAGAGTTATGGTCTTTGGACATAGAAAATTCACTTAAATAATCAGTTTTCTCAACAGTTTTTTTCGTCATGCTTTAATATTTTGACTTGATATTTATATGTAGTTTACTACATGACAAGTTATAGATCAAGTTAGAATTTTGTTCCAATACAATGAATTTTTAACCGGTAGGGGACTATATATGTATTGCCATGCAATACTCACAGAATGCTTGTTTAATTTATTATACTGAATGAAAATATTCATTAAAAGTGTTTTCCCAATTATGTCATTGATTGTCTGCAAACAGTTCCATGGAGTATAAAGGTAGACAACAACTCATCTAAATTAAAACTATTTTTCTTCTATTTCATATGAAAATGACAAAGCATTTCTTTTATTATCTATTTGATTTGTAATCTGTGAATCTACTATTGATGTCATAATAAATAGAATTAATAACAGTGGGACACTTACATACAACATTTAACATGGCTCTAAAAGTTGTCTCCCCTGAAACTGTCAAAAGACATCCCCCCCCCCTTTTTTAGACTGGATTTATCCTTATTCATAATTGGTGTTTAGAGAGGTTTATTTGCAGTTATTTTGTTCCTTTCCCATCCAGATTTTTATTTCCTGACATTGAACATTGTACACTATTTTTATCCTCAGCCCTAACCTAAGGTTTATCAAGGTATATATGTTCAGTTTAATAATTCAAAGTCATGCATGGTCTTTAATTTTCATAAAATTTGACATTGAATGGACGGACTCTGCAGACTGTAAAGATGGCACCACAATGGAATTTTGATGTAATTAAATGTGAATGTAGATCATCTATATTTGAATGTTACTATTCTTTCATTAAAAATACTGCATATCAGGAGTCCTGCAGTTATATTTACAAATAATGCACAATTAGTGTTACATATTTTAGGTTATGATATGTAAAGAATGACAGACACTGCATTACCAGGAACTTTCACAAATCTCAACGGCGTGAATTTTACAGGGAATGCTGGAAACTTCTTCAATCAAAATACACGAAGTGACACAGATAGTAGGACTTCAACATTTAACAATTCTCAAAACTCCAGAAAAGGACCTAAATATCCACAATACTCCATAACATGTATCAGATTGTCAACATTTCAAACATGGCCAACCAGTATTCAACAACACCCAGAAACTATGGCAGAGGCTGGTTTTTATTATACAGGTAATTAAAATATGAATAAAATTTAGTAACGGGATGTCTCTACTACTGCTTTTTTTTTAGAGTAGTTTTTGTTGGCATATGTCCCTAAATGACCTAAGGAATGTTTTTAAGGATTTTTTCAATTTGATGAATTTGGCTTCATTCTGAAGTTGGGATGTTTAATTTCAATATATATTTTAGATATTAGCCGACTATGTTAATGACATATTTACATACATGTACACCTTATGTTTATATCAAGAAAGTTTTTTTCGTAATTGGTTTATGCATTTCAATAATTTCATTAAAATACAAATATATATTTATATTTTACCTAAAACAACATGAACAATGTTAAATAACATTTTAATAATATTAATAGTGGTTGAAAGGTTTCAATTTAATCTGAGAATTAAGATGTTTTTGTTTCAATTATAATACAATATTGTCTCAATATTTCCATTGTGTTTCTTCTTTAATTTAATTATCATGATTTAGTTATACAATGTCTGTATGCATACTTTGTACATTCATTGTACATGAAAATTGTCTAGAATAGGGCCCTCTATCTGGATTAGCATGATTAGTGAAATATCTTATCATATGAGATTTTTTTATAGTGATGCTACTGGTTCAAATCCTTTTTCTTGCATTGCTCTTTTTCACAACTATGTTTTTTCATTTTGTTAATGATCAGATTAGAATTCTAAAGCTCTTACCTATAGATGATCGAAAAACCTATACCATGTACTATTTATAATTTACAATACAGAGATCTTGAAATTTATCCTCTAATATTGATAGTTTTTGAATAAATGAATGACCAATTAATTATCGGTACTTCCTGTTTATCAACAATAAGTTTTCAATCATACATCGTCAGCATGGCAAATCAAACCATTCATTTTGCAATTCTATCAAGATTAAGAAAAACTCAGCATACTAAGTAAATATATGTACAATGTTTTCTGACTGTTGGTGATTCATTCACCGGTAGAAATTAGAATACAGTAGAAACTTAAAAACTATTTTAAATCTTACCTTCATAGCAAAATTTCGTATGCCTACATAGCTGAGTTTCCAAATATGATGTCACCCTTTACTTGATTTAAACATTCTAAAAATAAACTCCATTCATAGGTAGAAAACCATATACAAATTTTTAAATCCCCACTTTACTTGTACAGTGGAAACAGTATTGTTCAAAGGATTCGTATGTCTTGACTAAAACACCTTTTTTTCTTAATTTTTTTTGTTTGCAGAAACTATATTACAAAATGTATTATTTACAGTGCAACAATATCATGAATATATATAGCAAAATTGTTCATCAAAATAAGAGCTACAATAAGTTAGCATGGTTGAAAATGTAAAATTGAATCCTTAGGGGAGCTATTGCCCTTGAAAGATGATATTTACCTATTTTAATTTTTTGTATATATTGCAGAAACTATGATAGATAAAAAAAAAATAGCAAAAAAGTTCAGCCCAATGAGATCTATAAATAAGTCAACTTGGCCAAAATTGTCATTCTTCTCCTTACTCCTTACTATTTCCGCTGAAAGATGATAATTACTTAATTTTTTTTGCATTTTTGTCATAATCTATAGTGGATAGAGAGTAACTTTAAAAACCAGATCTTCAAGCAAGTCAGCATTTCCTTTTATTATCATGATCATGTTTATCTGTAAAAAAATAAGCAATGAAGATTTAATTATTTCAGGGGCCTTGGTGGCCGAGTGGTCTAAGTAGTCAAACTACTGTATCACTAGCCAGTCAACTCTGAGGTTGTGAGTTTGAATCGTGCAGGGGGCAGGTGCACTCGACTCCAATCTTAATTGACTAGGATTGTCAGTTTTCCTACGGAAGGACGTGGTTCTCTCCGGGCACTCTGACTTCCTCCACCAATAAAAACTGACTGCCACGAAATAGCATAATAGTGTTGAAAGTGACGTTAATCACCAATCAATCAATTTAATTATTTCCATGTTTATTTTTTGCATGATTTAATTTAATTACAGTTATTTAATTATTTACAGGTAACAATGACCATGTACGATGTTTTCACTGTGGTATAGGACTACAGAACTGGGACTCTGAAGATAATCCTTTTGTAGAACATGCTAGGTGGTCTTCAGAATGTCAGTTTCTCAAAGACAAGAAGGGTTTAGACTTCATTGCTACTGTACAAGATGCTGTCAAGAGAGTACAAATGGTAAATAATATAAATTTTATCATCAATAATAATCTTTGATAAAGTAAGCAATAACATTTTTGAGAGTTTTGAAAATTGGTATCCTAGTATGAATAATATTTGATTCCAAAGTAGCTTATTCCATGTATTCAATTGCAACTAAAATTGTGTCCACATTTATTAATATGGCATGAGGTCATTGCCTGTCTATTTACAGAATTCTGTTAAATATGTTTGCTAATCTTAATATAGACTTTTGTCAGTTATATGGAATCGTATAGTTTATTTGATCCATGTATTGCCAATAAAATTTTAACCAGCTAACCCCTATAATTTTCTTTTCATAATTTTATTACATATAAATCAAACAGTTTTGAAAATCTTAAAAAATTCTTGTTATTTTTTCATAGTTTTTGAAAGAAAAAAATGTCAATGCTTATTTAATGTATGAAAAATCTAGAGAATCATTTCCTGTCAAATTTTCCATTGATTTTATCTCAAAAACAAGGACACTGACCTTACATTTTTTTTTTTTTTTTTTAAGTTTTGTTATTGATACACTATCAATTTATAAGTCTTTTTTTCAAGCACACCAATCAATATTAATAAATTTCAGAAATATACATTTCTCTTCTAATCTTCAAATCACTTCGTGTTAAAAGGGTAAAAACACCTTTTCCAATATTTCAGGAGGAGGCACTGAACACAGATGGTGTAGCAGAGACTATTGAGAGTGACTGTGAAGAAGATGGAAATTCAAGATCAGAGGATAGAGGCAGAGGCAAATAATACTGTTTTATATTTACATACTATTAACTTGCATTACAAAGTAAACCTAAATTATTGATTATCAGGATTTTTTTTCAGATTGATATTGTAATTTATTAGCTGTGAGTTGCTATTGGAAGATTTTTTTGGCAAGTGAGAAGCTTTAAAGCATCATTTTGTGTTGCAGCTAACATTTTAGATATATCTGTTAAAGGAAATTGCACTTGGTCCTTGAAAGAAAGAATAGTTTTTATTTGTTTTATATTAAAGTTCCCTATGAATTTTGAAACTTTCTTAAAGTAACAGATGCAATAGATATTTCATGAACAAAGCTAAAAGAATTACCTTAGAAGCAGTCAATGACAGTACATATGTACAGGGCTCACGCTAGCAGGCGACTGTGGCATTAAAGTCACTTTCCCGTCTGTCACTTCTCTTTGCCTCTGATTGTCAAAAGCAATATCTAGTCGCCCCATTGTTCACAATACTCGCTTTCAGCATGGTTCAGTCGTTTTCGTCATCAGCAATTTTCTATTTTTACCAAGTCGATGAAACAGCAATTATTCTTTTAAAAGTAAAGAAATTCAAAGACATTAACGATTTATTTTCTTTAGAAAAGAGGTTAAAGCATTGACTGAAGTTGCTTGCATGTTATAATTTCCATAAAGACAATTTTTTATCACTTCCGGTACTTGTAAGTGTTACTCGAGAGCATACATCAATTCATTCTAACTTTCGGCAAAATAAGTTTGTTACTTCACGAGAATGTGATGAAAGTTGCCTTAAGTAAATGTTCTAACCATTTATTGCATTGAAAACTTCATATTCCTTTCCAAATAGCTTGTCAAACATCGTTTTTTGTAACTTTTCTTCGTACGCCATTGAAATATTTGTACGAACTACAGATCGGAGTAGGGATTCATTGGAAACGGACCAGCTATGACCGAAATCCGTATTCTTATGATAATAACTACGGAGGCATGAATGGTACAGCTGACAGAAGAATATTGATTCCAAAAGGAAAGATTTGTATTCCACACGCATTAGTAGACTTTGGTTAGATCTACTTGATTAATGTATATATTTCCATGTATATATGCATTGATTCAATTTATTAATTAAAGTTGCTTAACTCTAGGACTATTATACTAATATCAATATGTTATGTCCCAGCTTAACTTTTTTAAATTTATATATCTTTATAATGAGAAAAATTGAATTTCATAAACATGAAAAACAGAGTAGTTTTTTAATTGTATTTTAATTGATATATATTATACTTTCTTTTCCTTTTTGATATAAAAAAAGTTGGGTTGTTTTAGTGCTAGATATTTAGTTGGTAGTTTCTGACAAGATGACTAATATAATTGTGCAACTAGATATGATATACTTAAACAACTTTGAATTTGAACTGTTATGAATTGAACAATATAAAAAAAAAAAGATACATATGGCCCTTTATATTATAGTAAAAACCAAACATCGTAGCGCCACGAGCGAATGAGCACTTCTCTTTCAAATCTCACCACTTCTCCTTATCATTTTCAAAAAGAGAAGTCACTTCTCCCTATGATTCTGAAGTAGTGTGAGCCCTGATGTATATATATGGAATCTTTAAATGTTCATAATAGTGATTGGTGAATATATCAGAGGCTAATCAATATTAGGTATCATCATGATGTTGAATTGTGAGAGCACAGTATCCATAATTGTCAATATGAAGAGTTGCAATATTGTTCCTTTCTTCCACATGATTAAAAGGAGATTTTGGGTACAATCAATGAGAAAACAACTCAATTTATATTTTAGGATGGTGTTAAAAAGTCTAATATCTACGGAACTATTGTATTTTTCATTAAGTGTGATGATAATATTATATTTTAGATGTCTTACCTAGTGGTAAACCTCCTTCAAAAGCTGAGAAAAAGAACCCGCTGTTAACAGACGCTGCTCAGAGCATATTAACAATGGGATATTTACCTAAGGTTATCAGGATCGTTGTGGACAGAGTTCTTAAAGAGAAAGGTAGGAACTTGCAATGCAAAGACTAAAATAAAAATAAGGAAATGTGGTGTGATTGCCAATGAGACAACTATCCATCAAAGTTCAAATGAAGTGCACGTGGATGTAAGCAATTATAGGTAACTCTTCCACACATTTTCCTTTTTTCCTGAGGGTTATAACCATTATGTTTTATTTATTTTCTTGTCTTCATTTAACATGTTTAATAGAAATCAAATTCATTCCTTGATAAGCCAGTCTGTAAATCATGCATATCATGTTTATTTCCTAATATTAAGATAAAGACTGATATTTTCCTGTCTGAAGCAGAAAAAGTTTAATATAAATATTGGAAAATCATAATGATGTTTATTTCTGTAAAGTTATTTACATACAAGACATATACAGATCACAGAATAGTATTACATAGTATCAGATGGTAAATGTAAAGTTTTGTAAATGTTAACAGGCAAGACAGGCCTTGAGATTCATGTTACTTCATTTCAAAGGATATATCTGTTAATGAACTGTATATTTTTAAAGTATCATGTTTACTTAACAAACAGGATATGTTAGAGTATTGAACGTCCAAACCTGGGTCATTGAACTACTATGTCAATATAGGATCTTCTTAAAATGTCAAATGTCACCGATTATTTGCTCATTTAAATTTCAAGTGAAACTTTATCAATTTAGTAAATGGAGTTAATTCTTTATCACCATATGGACTTGTTACTAGTTGAAACGTGAATATACTTGGGAGAAAAAGAGTAACAAGTTAACCCAATTGCTAGTTTTTATTTGTCGATCTTTTGCAGTATCAAAGTACACCATTTCTTTACATTTGAGTGTAAGTCATATTTCCTGATTTTAATGAATTATTTTCCTAATGTTTAGATCTATGATGACATGCCCCCTTTTAATTTTGACTTGTTCACTGTTAAATAGTTCTTGGATCTTTATTGTTGAACACTTTATAATTCTTATCTTGTTCATGTAGTCTCATAACTCAAGCATGTCAAGTTTGCTTCATAATCATGATAATAAATCTAATGACGCTTGCAAAAAAAGTTTATTGCCATAAAAATAAGCTCCATTCTGATTTTGACTATTTCAAATTTGTCTAATATGCTAATGTCAAGTTCAATACTGGTGTTATAAAGGCAATACTTTGTTTGTTTTCTCAAAGTATTGACCTTTTTCTTCTAACCTTATGACATTTATAAAAATCCAACAACCAATAAAAGCTAACCTCCTTTTCATTTTTCTTACCTTTTTCAGTTTTTGTTCTGAAGATATTAGACTTTTATGGTTTAAATAAGGGGCTTGGCATAGAAAAGGCTTATTGCATAGCTGTTTATTTAGATGAACATGATGAAACATATACTGTTGTCTTGCTTATTAAAATCCTTGATGATGAGATTAATTTCATAAAAACACCATTTATTATTCCCTTTATTATACCCATTGAGCATGTGTTTTTCATTACATGTTTTTAAGCTTCTGTATTGGAATGATTTTATATTTGGTCTTGAACTTTATAATGTGTAATAGTTTTAAAGGGTAAGAAAGAATTTGCAGATCTGCCTAGCGGTCTCTTGGTGTACGATTACAAGTTTTTATTATGCCCTGACTGAGTATGGAATTTCTTGTCCAATCCTCATAAAGATTAGTGTACACTTTTCATGAAATCTTGATGGTTTTCCCTAATATTGATGTTTTTTTTTAAATTTTTATGATAAGTGCTTAAAGTTAAATTTTATATATTCAGAACTCTTGAAAATGGAGCAATTGCTATGTACATTGTATGGTGATCAATAATAAAGATTAGGTGTTAACCTATTGATTGTTGGTTGCTTAACGTCCAGTGGCAAATATTTCATGCATGTTTAGGATGAGATGGTGTGAATAAAAGAAGTGTATCTGGTATAGCAAGGAATTGACAAAAATGCATCTACCGTGTCACATTTTCTAAGTCTTTCCATGCCTATTGTCACTTACCATTATTTATATTTTTTTCACTATGTAAAACTTCACTATGTATTTATGTTTTTCACTTGTCACAAGTCCACAATGTGAATATATACTAAATATATACGTAGAACATTAGATATTTATCCTTCCATATAGAAAGTTTACACAATTTTATTTTTTTTTTCAAAATTTATTCTCAAACAGTGTGTGTAAGGTTAACTTGTAATAAAAGTAATCTTTATCATGCTAAAATAAGCAATATGTGACATTTTCATGGATTATTTATTTGGGGAAATGTTAAAATTCAATGAACATTACGGGGGTAACATTGTATTTTTAAGACAAAGTGTAAATGAATCAAAGCATTTTCTATATACTCCTTCATATTTGTGTATATTAGAAATATAAATATGAACTGTTGTGTAATGAAATATTTTAGATGTTGGGAATAGCTAGAGTTAGTTCTGTAGATTTGTGATTGTTGTTTTCTTCTTATTCACTCAGTAAAATGGCAAATGATTGATATTTATCCTAAAAATGGCTATCTCTGAAGCTTCTTGTCTGCAAAATGAAGAAATAACTCAGGTTAGAAAAAATTCATGCAATAGAAAAACAAAGGATATAGGGTATCCATGCATGACTCAAAATCAGTACATGCACAGCAAAAAACACACAAAAAGCAAAGGAACAGCGCCTTTATTGCTGTTCTTCATCTTAAAGTCACAGTTTTTTGTTTTAGATTTTCACAACAGGGATGTAACATTTATTTGCTTTTAAAAATCGTTGTAATTTGAGTAAAGTATAGCAGTGAGGCGGTGACTGTACCATAGTATAGATGAAAGTAAAAAGTAAAATAACAAAAATTCCGAACTCCCAGGAAAATTCTAAACAGAGAGTCCATAAGTAAATGGCAAATTCAAAAGGTCAAACACATCAAACAAAGGATAACTACTGTCATAATCCTGACTTGGTACAGGCATTTTCTTATATAGAAAATGGTGGATGGAACCTGGTTTTATAGCTATCTAAACCTCTCACTTGTATGACAGTCGCATAAAATTCCATTATATTGACAACGATGTGTGAACAAAACAAATTTAAACCGACATAATAGGTAAGCCACTTGATGTCATGAATTATTTCTATTCTGATATGAAAAATGTGCCAAATAATTATTCTATTTGAAGTAAAATTAGTTATTTGTTCTCAAAATGAAAATTTTTACATCAGCATTTTTGTTTACAGTATTATGAACCTTCCATCACTAAATATATCATTCCAAACATAAAATGCAGAGTTTGACAAGTGTTTTTAACATTTTCAAAATTTGACAGACTTAAAAGAATGTTTTTTGAACTGTTTGCCTCCTGATCTGTGAAAATAAAGGTTGCACAAGTCATAGAGCCAGTTATAGATCATTCAAATTTGGCTAATAAGTGTCAACTTTTACACTTCTCTACAGGAAAAATGGCAGTTTTAAAGGACATTGCATATTTAAGAACAAGTATGAAGATTGCTAGCAAAAGTATTTTACTTTGTAATACCAGTACTTTACAAGAAAAAATTAGTTTTCTTTTAATTATAGCCACACTTTACTCTTTTTTTAATGTATCTATCATGTTGATAGTTAGCCTGTATTTATATTAACCACTACTTAGCACATTTTTAGATACAGAAACTATTGCGAGGTATTTTTTTATGTGATTAATGTGACTGGATGAGTATTGCAATAATGGGAACTGGCATTCTTATATCTAGTACTTATATCTGTTTGCAGCTTTTCCTAAAATCGCAATAATTAATCTCATCAATTTGGTGGGTCTGGTCAAAATGGCAATAATAAATGCTCGCGATAATTTCTGAATTTACAGCACTTTTGTTTCAATATTCTACCTCATTATCACTTTCTCTTTCAAATTAAGTATTTTTATTTCATATTACTGTTAATTAAATTTTATTTAAAGGTTGGGCTAGCATGTCATCTCGAAGATTAATGGAAGAAATATACAAAATAGAGGACAGTGGGGAAATACCAAGATCCGAATTATCTGTACCAATGAATTCAAAGTTTAAACATTCATTAGTAAGCATAAAAAAGGGTTCAAAAGTTGTTCCAAGAGGTAAGTACATTTCTGTTGAATTTAATTATTCTTGGGTTTACTATACCAACCCTCATTATTTTGGTACCTACATAAAACTATTTCTTTGATGTGAAATTTATATATTTTAAAATAGTCACTTTTGAAATCAGAAGATAATTGATAGATGCTTATAAGTAATTGTTGCTTAACATCTTGTGGCAAATATTACATGCATATTCAGGATGATAATATATTACAGCTCTTTTCATAATGCTAGCAAGACAAAGGTTTGTTTGGTTTGCTTGCTTTGTTTGTATCAATGTTTGCTCAAGCATTGTGATTAAGATTGACATCTGAAAACAACATAAAAAAGCAGATTTAAACTTGTATACATTATATTTAAATTTGATTGGACATTATCAAATAATCAAATTTACCTATACACAGGCTTAACTCTGCCTACTTATATTGTTTGCAGATGTCGATCTTAATTACAATGCTTAAGCAAACATTTATACAAACAAAGCAAGCAAGTCAAACAAACCTTTGTCTTGCTAGCATTATGAAAAGAGCTGTAATGGAATATGAATATATCCTGTTTAACAGTTGACCAATATGCTTGTTATATAGTTATCCTTGAGATTGGCTTTAGATTCAAACTTCTATTTAAGCAAGACAACTCAATTTAATTTTTATGAATCATACTAAATCATGTTTCCTGCTTTTTGATGAATACTTTTAAAAGTTTTTTTAATTTTAATGTGTATGTTCATAAATGAATTATAACTTCAATTTTTCAATGTTAATATATATTTTCTTTGAATTGAAAAATACTCACTGTTTTGTAACTGAATCCAAAGTATGGGAGGTAACTCTTCAATATCCAGTTCTTGCAAAAAAGCATATTTTACAACAAGTCAATATGGTGACCTCATTAAATCACATTTTCTTTTCACTAAAGGAGGGTTTAATATAAGCATCAGATTAGTTAGGTTCAAGATGTAATTCTTAAATTTGTCTTTAAACAGTTGAAGTAAAGAAGATATCACAAGAAAATCAAGAAATGAAAGAACAGACACAGTGCAAGATTTGCTGTGAAATGCCTGTTTCTATTGTGTTTTTGCCCTGTGGTCATATATCGTCTTGTTCCCAATGTGCCCCAGCCTTGAAATCTTGTCCTGTATGCAGGTCAGAAATCAAAGGTTCTGTCAAAGTTCAGTTCAAATAACCAAGTCATGTAGTAGCTTATCTGCCATTGGTGTTTCTTTTTTAATCTTCTGAAAATATATATTATATACAGGACTATTGTGTATTTACATATTTTGGCAAAACGTCAAAACACAATATACACTAGAATACAAGTTTTCCCAAATCCATGAAATTTGGTAAATAAATGAATAGGCAGTATTTGTTGCTTTGTATGCTTATTATACACAATATTAATATTTTTATGTCATTGCTGAATTTACTGGACATCACAGACATTTTAATTGACAGAAAAGAAAACAGTGCAGGGAGGAAGGAATACAAATTTAAGTGTAGGGATGAATTTAATTGGTTGAATTGTTCCAAAGATTTTCGAAGCTTTTATGGACAAGAAATTTACAGCTATGTATGGAAGAATATTTCAAGTCTGAACCTTACTGTTTGAAAGCTATTGTGAAGACTTATTATCTCCCCTTGATTGTTGTTATACTCGTATGTTTTAATAATATATAGAACGAGTACAATTTCTTGATAATAAATATTACACATTTATTTTCAATTACTGAATTGTGATGTTTTAAGAAACAATATAAAGACAAAGGACCAGTTTAGATCTAGAACGATCCTGAGTTAATGATATGTATAATATATCATGTATATAGTGGCACATAACAAATGTCATTGCATCAGTTATACTATTAACATCATCATATTTGTTATTAAATCATATTTTTTATTAGATCATATCTATTTTTATCATCAATAAGTAGTAGATACATTTCAATTATTTGATGAAAATTGAACATCTGATTAGTCCACCATGAGAATATTATTATTGTTGACCTACATGTATAATGTAAGTTGTTACCCAACAACTATTTTAAAACTTGAAATACTTATTTTCTTAATATTTTGTGTAAATTTAGTGAGTTATTTCCATTCTTTACAATTTGTTTCTCCTGTATACGGGAGTGAAAAATGTATATGAATGTAATTTGTTATGTGTTCAAGTTGAAACTTGTATGAGAAACATTTTGATTTAGTTATTTCCTGATCACAATCTCAAAGTTGTTATCTCTCCAATATCATTTGAACTCTATTAATATTTTTGTCAAAGTTTGAGTATATACAATAAAATGCCCAATATAAGAGGGGTATGAACCCCTTTCAAGTAAATAATATTCCCATCCAAACCAAATTTTTTAATGATAAAATTGAGAATGGAAATGGGGAATGTGTCAAAGAGACAACAACCCGACCATAGAGCAGACAACAGCCGAGTCTGCATTTGCATGCAGATACTTGCAGACCAGGAGACGCTCACACTGTTAATGCACTTGTTCATACATCAATTAGGAGTTAATGGGATTCGCTCAGGTCTTAACTTTTGATTTGCCATATGTTTATTCCAAATATGTTTTAAGAGTTTAGAAGATCAATAAACTTGTGTTGCCTTGATTTTACATACCATATGTCTATGATATATTATAGTGAACATAATTTTTATCTGCACAGACAGTTTGCTTTTCACTTTATACCTAATTTCCAAAATTGTAAATCTTGTATATATATTGTATTGATTCTGAATTGTAGTATTTAGCCTATGGTAGTTTACTTATTACTTTTATATTTTAAAAGAAACATTAATGGCAGATAAAAAGTGAAAAAATATGGGATGCCCATATTACTCACAACATGTATCAGCTAACTTTTGGATGTGTTGAGAAATTTGGAAATGATGCTTTATGATCATGGGTTTCTCATCACTCCCAGTTAACTGCTACAAGCTATCACCGATGTGTTCATGTCATTACTAGTCTTTCAATGCCTTTGGCAGAATGGCCTGAAGTTTTACTTTTTTGTTGTTTGTGGTTTTTTTACACAAGTTTTTGTTTACATTTGTTTAACTTACTTTTACATAAGTTATCGAATTAAGTATGAAACGGGTATCATATATAAATACGTTATAGTCAAGATTATATTTTTGTTTATTATTTTATGAGTTGGATAGAAAAGGCCAATATTTATAAGACAAGAAATATGCCTCTCCTATTTTTTTTTATATAAAATGAAGTGTCCTTAAAGTAAGTTCCTTATTGTACTCAAAAGGTTTATGATATGTAGATGTCTGTGAGGACATACAAAGATGTAATACCTAACAATTTTGGTGGCAGTTGTCAATATCCTTCAGCCAAAGTTCTTAAACGGTATTATAGATTTGACATCTATAATAATACTGTATAGACAAACTAAAATAGGGCATCTCTGATGAAGGTTCCCTGAGAAAACACTATGTTTTCCGAATACCTGAAACATTGATATCTACCTATCGAGTGGTTTATTATCGATGTAAGTGGTAATATTGATTGATTGATTGTTGGTTGCTTAAAATAAAGGGTCAGATATTTCATGCATTTCTAGGAAATTCAAGATTATAAAAATGTACAATATGGGGCAAAAATTAAAGGTAAGAAATATAGTCAAAGCTTTGTGTACAAAATATTGTCATACTGTTATGTATAAGATAAATTCTTCTAATCATATTCTGGTCCAAACATAAAATGCTAGGTATGATCAGTAGAAAATAAGGCAGGATTTCTTCAAAAATTTCCCTAAAAAGTGTTCTAACCAAAATTAACAAAATGTGGTGAAAAGTTAAAAGTACAAATATAGACCAAATGTAATCTACAGATGTGTACAAAGTACAAAATATGGTCATAATGTAATGAACAAAAACAAAAGTTGTTTTAATTCTTCATAACATTAAATATGGTCAAAATCTAGTGTGCAATGTAAGGTAAAATGATCGAGTACAAAATGTGGTCAAATCTTATTTCGAAAAATGTGATCAAATAGTAGCATACAAATATGTTCAATGTTAAGGCATAAATATGGTCAGAATTTAATTTAAAAATGTCAAAAACATCTGTCATTTCCTAATTTATTGAGTAAACAACATGTAATGCACAAACTTGTTTTTTAAATTGTCATAAATTATGCAGAAAAGGTTCTGACATGAATACACACATAGCTACTACATGTTTTGGTTATCACAGAAAAATGTTTATTTCAGGATTACACATTTTGTATATCGGGAAAGTTGTAAGTATTTATGCTTAGCCAAGAAACATTCACTGGGTGTCCTTGTTGTATCTTTACACAACACCAAGGCTATGTTTTATGCTTTTGCGACTACATTTTGTTGCTGTGTTACAAACACATACATTTGTTTTGTATATGTGCTTGTAGAATAAAGCACAAGAGAGTGTTCCGCATAATGTAAGAACACTATGGATTTAGTTCAGTGATACATTATTGCATAAGGCACTTGATTTTTTCTTTGAAATGATGAGTCTTTCGGATGACAGGCAGCTTATTTTTATTCGTTAGTTATGTTAATAAACGTTTTTCGTGATTTAAAGAATGTGTCTTTGTCTTTTCCTTTTTTATTTTATTTTTTTTTTGGGGGGTGGGGGGGGGGGGGAATGTGGTAGCATAGAGAGGCTTTAGGGAGATGGTCAGGAAAAAGATGCAAGATAAAAAGTGCCCTGGAAGTGTTATAGCAGTTCCTGTTCCAATAGTCAGACTTGTCTTACTGCAAATCTGGTGATAAGTTGATTTGGATATGCCATAAACGAAAAAAAGATTTGGTTTGCAAGTTTGGCTGTACCTGTAAAAAACTTATTTCAGGCGGAATCGCACATCCTTAATTTTATGGTGATGTTGTTTACTGAGTCTGGAAATTTATATACGATCCAGGTAAACTTATCAATCCTTTAAATAAACTGGTATTCTAAAAGGTTACCAATTCAACACTAATTAGATCTTTGAATATTGTTTTTATTGGTATAAATATTGATTTTGTTATCAGTAAATTAAAATCATACTAAATAGTTTTGTTATACACATATGCACTTTGACGGTACTACAGTCTGTTGATACCTTTATTTTGGCATTGCACAAGGTCATGTTTTTCTCTGACTATCTTTACACTAAATCCACTTGATGTTGAATGTGTACTGATTGATATTTTAGTCTTAGATACATGATTTTTTTTTATTAGTTGTTATTGGCTTTAAACTAGCTGTCAGTAACTGCGAGTACTCTCAGATCTGTACTTCGAGTCCTTTTTGTTGTTAGGGATTATGGATGGATAAATACCCAGCCACGTCCGGTCTGTGTTTATGTGTAATGTTTTTCATCTTTGTATTGATCTGATTAGTTAAGCCTTTTTCAACTAATTTTTATACGACCGTCGTATATTGGTATGACGTTGGCGTCGTCGTCGTCCGAAGACACATTGGTTTTCGCACTCTAGCTTTAGTTTAAGTGAATGGATCTCTATGAAATTTTACCATAATGTTCAATACCACAAAAGGAAGGTTGGGATTGATTTTGGGGGTTATGGTACCAACAGTTAAGGAATAAGGGGCCAAAAATAAGCATTTTTGTAACTTCCAGACATAACTTGTGTGTTAGTGTATGGATCTCTCTGACATTGTACCACAAGGTTCCATATCACAAAGGGAATGCTTGGATTGATTTTGGGGGTAATTGACTCAAAATTTTAGGAATTAGGGGCCAAAAAAGGGGCAAAAAACAAGCATTTTTCCTAGTTTCATGTCAATAACTTGTGTGTAAGTGTATGGATCTTTCTGAAATTGTACTACAAGGTTCAATATCACAAAGGTAAAGCTGGAATTGAGTTTGGGGGTAATTGCCCAAAAAGTTTAGGAATAAGGGGCCAAAAATAAGCATTTTTCTAGTTTCCAGACAATAACTTGTGTTCAAGTGTATGGATCTCTTTGAAATTGTACTGCAAGGTTCCATATCACAAAGGGAATGCTTGGATTGATTTTGGCGGTAATTGCCTCAAAATTTTAGGAATAAGGAGCAAAAAACAAGCATTTTTCTAGTTTCATGACAATAACTTGTGTGTAAGTCTATGGATCTTTCTGAAATTGTACTACAAGGTTCCATATCACAAAGGGAAAGATGGAATGGAGTTTGGGGGTAATTGCCCAAAACGTTTAGGAAAAAGGGGCCAAAAATAAGCATTTTTCTAGTTTGAGGACAATAACTTGTGTTCAAGTGTATGGATCTCTCTGAAATTGTACTGCAAGGTACCATACCACAAAGGGAAGGCTGGGATTGAGTTTGGGGGTGATGAATCATAAGGGGGATCAAAAATGTGGGGGGGGGGGGGTTCCTTTTTTTTTCTTTAAAATTTTCCATTTTAAATTGGTTATTTCTGATTTATATATAAAAGCAAATAATAATGATATGGTATGAATAGGTAAATTAAAAATTTTTAAGTTCTTAGACCACATTCATTCTGTGTCAGAAACCTATGCTGTGTCAAATATTTAATCACAATCCAAATTCAGTGCTGTATCAAGCTTGAATGTTGTGTCCATTCTTGCCCCAACTGTTCAGGGTTCGACCTCTGCGGTCGTATCAAGCTGCGCCCAGCGGAGCATTTTATTATAGTGTGTTCTTATGTTGTGCTGTTACACCACTGTTCCAGGTTAAGGGGAGGGTTGAGCTCTCACAAACATGTTAAACCCCGCCACTTTCTTTATATGCCTGTCCCAAGTCAGGAGCCTGTAGTTCAGTGGTTGTCGTTGGTTCATGTCTGTCATATTTGTTTTTCGTTAATTGTTTTGTTATAAATTAGGTCGTAAGTTTTTTAAATTGAATTGTTTCATAATTTCATGTCGGGGCTTTTTATAGCCGACTATACGGTATGGGGTTTTCTCATTGTTGAAGGCCGTACGGTTGCCTATAATTGCTTACATCCACTTTATTTGAACTTTGGTGACTAGTTGTCTCATTGGCAATCATACCTCATCTCCTTTTTTTATAATGGTTGACGTTTGTACAAAGATATTCCGTAATAGTCATGCAGATCGGTGACAAAATTTTGGGTTTGATGATAAAAACACCCAATTTGACATGGTAGTAGCTATGGGTGTTTCAAACAATATTGGACATACCTTGAAATTTCAATATGGCGGCTACTTCCAAGGTGGCCGCCATACAATATCAAAATCAACATATATCACTTATACAAGGCCACATTTAAGGTCAAATACGGCATGGTAGTAGTGCTGGGTGTTTCGAAAAATATTAGCTATGGACCCACCTTAAAATTTCAATACGACGGCTTTTTCCAAGATGGCCGCCACAATATATCAAAGTAAAAAAATATCCTTTATATTTGTTCAAATTTGTCATGTTAGTAGTGATTGGTGCTTTAAACGATATTAGCTATGAATCCACATTGAAATTTCAATATAGCGGTTTTTTTAAGATGGCCGCCATAAGATATCAAAATCAACAAATATCCCTTATAGAAGGTTACAAAGTGTTTTGTTTTGACGTACCTTCAGTTAAACTAAGTGCCCTATAATACCAAGTGTATGCCACATTAATATACTAATGTCAAACAGCAAAAGTTCTGAGGAACGTATAGAAAGTCGTTACTACGGTAGCTTTCTTGCAGAACAATGAAGGATCACGTATAGACGCTGGCGTTATTTCAATATTTAAACTAAACTTAACCAGAGTGTATACTTCTCGACTCGGAACAGTTTCCTATATGACCAACTGGAAGAGGACATAGTAATGATAAAAAAAAATGCAGTAATGCCAGGCCATTAACAAAGCAGGTATTTGCTTCTTCTCTTTAATGATTATTTCGGTGTTGCAATTAAACAAGCAACCTCAACAATAGGTTTGTATGACAACGATACTTGAAAAAAGCTGCACATGCAGGTAGTTCAAAAAGACATGATGTAGGCAAAAGTCTTCCAGAGTCATTAAAACATGAGTTGATATTCCATTGCGGCAAATACGAAGCTTTCCATTTCAAAGTTACTTCTGTCTGTTTTTTATATTCTTGAATATCACCATCAACTAAACCAAGACCATCTCTTAATGTATATAACCTTCTTCTGGATGCTAGGACCAGGAAGAGAGGTACTAAATGACCTAATGTACAGTTAACGTTTGTCTTTTATGAATGATCCAAGTATTTATCTACAGTACTAGAAGATTCCATCTATGAAACATTCAACATTGAATATGTGTTTCCTCCCTCGAATCCTGGTGGTTTTATAACAGCAGCCAAGGACAATATTGACAACAAGAATTCAACTACGGCTAAAGAATCGTTATATGGTACGAAACTTTCAATATTTCAATATTTCTTAGTCTAATTTGGCATATTAGTCATAACCTCATGCTTTGAAATATATGCATTTCCCTTATAATCTCTGGTACTTAAACCAATATATTATGCGCCAGCACAACTGTTCGTATTATTGCTATAACTTATTAGATATATTACTATTTAATCAGATATACCCTTAATACTAACCAAATACAACCATGCGTTTCATACTTACATCTAATAATAACCGTTTTATAGAAATGCACTCTGTCAATTGTCTAACCAGAAATACATGTATGCCAAGTTGGTAAAATTAGTTAATTGTGCAAATCTATTATCATATGGTTTTTATCAGTTAATAAAATGATAACACAGATGGCTTGAAGCAGATGATAATGAAAACATTCAATATGTCTGGAAAGCATTCCACACATGTACAGCCAAGACAAACTGTATCCGTCTTTATATGTCAGTCCGCATTGACCTATGTTTCAGGAAGATATCAAATATGTCACAACGATTCGACATTCCATGAATACAATCCAACAATGTGTAATTTTTTCCTAGACATGTATCAATTATCGCTTTTGAGCAATCATTAAAAAAATGATTAAAAAACAGTGGTTGGACAAGTGTTCAATAAATGAAACACAGTACTTCATGAACAGCAAATTCTTTTTAGCGGCTCTCATGAACAAGCATTTCCACGAGGTGTAATTTTCATTCTTATACACAGATCCTGACATAATTCTTACTGAGGAACGCAACCGTGGTTTGAACTATGTAACATTCAAAGAATGCAGTAAGATGAAATTAAGAGTCCACTAAACCATAACTGGCCTGTAACAACATATTGATGTGAGATCATTAAGAGAATGTTCCTTCTGGGTGAAAAAAGATTCCATTATACGGTTTATTCATTGGTTCTTTGCATTTTCCATCCAAATTATGGCTTCCATAAAACCAGGTTCAACCCACCATTTTTTCTTAAAATGTCCTTACCAAGTCAGGAATATGGCAGTTGTTATCAGATAGTCCGTTTCTATGTATGTTGGCGTTTGCTGTAGTTGTAGTTCAGTGTTTTTATTGTTCCGTTGTTTTCCTCTTATAGTTGATGTGTTTCCCTCGGTTTTAGTTTGTTACCCGGATTTGTTTTTCTCTTAATCGAATTATGACTATTGAACAGCGGTACACTACTGTTGCCTTTATTTCCAGTACCCGTGCGCGGTATTATGATATTCAACTATACA